GTCTCAGGACGGTGTCCCAAGAGCACAAAGGCAAGAGCTACAGGATCTTTTAAGCCTAAGCTCCAGAACCTACACAACACTTCTGCCACATTTTGTTGGTCAAGGTCAGTTACAAGGTCAGCCCAGATCCAAAGTGTGGGGAAATAGTCTCTTGATGGAAGGAATTGTAGATATTGTAGCCACGAGTTTTAATCTATTAGAGCAGGGTACATGTACAGTCTGTTCATTTTATTTGTGGCAGCTGGCAGTTGTGTTCTATAAAGTCATTGCAAATGTTGAATTAGAGAATACTGAGACTTTGCTCACAGGGGAAATACAGGGTTAGGTTCCTATGAGTCTCTAGATACAGCATTTTCATCAACTGATCAATACATAACCTGGTTTTATGTGTGTACCTATTTGATGACATCTTATTTAATACATATTGTTTACTCATTAGCACTGAACTCGTGGCTAATGGCACTGTAATTCATGCCTAAATGAAGTTTATCTAACACGCTTTTTCTCCATATGACACATCACAACCTGTGCTTAGGAACACCAGACACCACCTCAACATTACACTTGGGGGCCATTTAAACATGAAATCACCAGTAAAAAGTTCAAAAATGTGAAAAAATGTCTAACTAGATGCCTGTTCTTTGTATAAGAGCTGAAACAAGAAGGCAAAACACCGCTTTTGTTTTACCTCAGCTGGGAATGTGTGTGTCAGACAAATCAAATATATCCCCACTCTGCATATGTCCATGAATGGCCATGAAAGCAGTGTGAATATTGATTTGGAGTGTACAAATGAATGTTTTTTGTATAAATAAATTTTAGCAAGTAGGCACATTTTTAAATGTAGAATCAACAAATAATGAAGATTGATTATACACAGAAGAGGGAGACCAGATTGGTAACAGTAGTAATTTCTGTCACATTCATCACGGGAAAACAGGAAAAAAAATGAACATTTATGGAGTATTTCCTACATGCTGTCCTGATGCATTTATTATATCACTTTAGTTTATAATATACTTTAATACTTTTTTTATATGTTGCTGGATTCCATTTGCTGGTGTTTTGTTGAGAATTTTTTCTTGCAATGTCTTTGTCTAGTTTTTGGTATCAAAATCCTCTTAGAATGAGTTAGGAAGTATTCCCTCCTCTTGTGTTTTTTGAAAGAGTTTATAGAAGAATTAACACAATCCCTCATAAACATTTAGTAGAATTCATCAGCAAAGCCACCTGGCTTAGGGCTTGTTCTTGGGGGAAAATTTCTATTACTTAATTGAGTCTCTTGTCTTAAGTCTAGTCAGATTTTCTATTTCACCTTAAGTCAGTTTTGGCAGTTTGTGTCTTTCTAGAAATTTGTCCATTTCACCTAGGTGATCTAATTTTTTTGAAATACATTTGTTCATAGTATTCTTTTATGTTCTTCTCTTTTATACTCTCTTATTCTCTTTTTAATCCTGTGAGGTCCGTGTAATTCCTCTGTCATCCCTGATTTTAATAATCTGAACTTACTCTCTTTTTTCTTGATCGATGTAGCTAAAAGTTTGTTAATTTTTTTCTTTTTTTTCAAAGATCCAACTTTTTGTTTTCTTGATTATTACTATTTTACTCTTTATTTCATTTATTTTCACTCTAATATTCATTGCTTTCTTCCTTCTTCTTGCTTTGGATTTAGTTTGCTCTTCTTTCCTAATTTCTTTAGGTGGAATTGATTTGAGATCTTTCTTCTTTTTTAATATAGGCATTCACAGCTTCTAAGCACTGTTTCTGCTGCATCCCACAAGATTAGGTATGTCATGTTTTATTTTCATTCACATCAGTTTTTATTCTAATATACCTTATTATTTTTTTTGACCCACTGGTTATGTAGGAATGTGTTGTGTAACTTCTAATGTACTTGTAAATTTCCTAAGTTCCCCTCTGTTATTGGTTTCTAATTTCACTCCCTTGTGGTTGAAGAATGTACTTTCTATGATTTTAAGCTTTTAAAAGTTATTGAGACTTGTTTTATGATGAGGCATATGATCTATCCTGAGGAAAGATCGATGGGCATTTAAAGAATATCTATTTTGGTGTTGTTAGGTGAAGTATTCTATGGATATGTTACGTCTAGTTGGCTTAGGGTGTTATTCAAGTCTTCGATTTCCTTTGTTGAACTTCTGTTTAGTTTTTGTATTCATTATTGAAAGTGAGGCATTGAAGTCTCCACCAATTTTTGCAGAATTATCTATTTCTTTCAATTCTGTCATTTGGCTTGTATTTTGAGACTCTGTTAATAAGTGCATAGATATTTATAAATATCTAGCAATGATTTTTGTCATTTGCTGGTATAATATAGTAAAATTAATTAGTTTATATTTTGTCTGAGATTAGTATAGTTACTCTAGCTTGCCTTTGGTTTCTGTTTACATGATATATTTCTTTCCATTGTTTTACTTGCAACCTAGTTGTGTCTTTGGATCTAATGTATATCTCTTATGGAAAGCATACCATTGTAACAAGTTTGTTTATTTTTATCCATTCTGCCAATATCTGCCTTTTAATTGGAGTGTTTAAGTGTTAACCTTATTGAGGATCACTTGTATGTGGAGTTGCTTCTCTCTTGCTATTTTCATTTTGCTTTTGGCTTTTGATAACTTGGTTGGTTTGGTTTGGGTTTTATGCCTCTGAAAATTACAAATGAAAACTGTTCCCCCAAATTGGCATAAGTTAACCACTTTTAATCAAGCCCCTATCTGTAGGAAAACTCTAGTGCTATAATAAACTATTATAAAAAAAGAGTCTTCTATTTTCACTGTATAAGCTGTTCTAAAATAATCCTCTGAGCCCCATTCTACCATTGATTTGAGAGCTCCCAGTTTGCAAACTGTTTTTATATGCACAATAAACTCTTACTAATTTAGCTTTTACTATTTTAATGATGTTATTTCTGGTTTTTTGACAGTAACTAATGCATATATAGCAGATTTCTTGTAAGGATTAAATAGGCAAATGTATGTAAACCCCAATAACAGGAATCTCAATTAACACTACTATAGTTTTTTTTGAAAACTCATGCTCAAAGGGTTGTAATACTATTCTCATTCATGTCACATTATTATTTTTATTGAGGTATAATTGACATATAACATTATATTAGGGGGCAGTGGCGTGGCTCAGTGGTTGAGCGTCTGCCTTTGGCTTAGGTTGTGATTTGGGGTCCTGGGATTGAGTCCTGCATTAGGCTCCCTACAGGGAGCCTGCTTCTCCCTCTGCCTCTGTGTGTCTCTCATGAATAAATAAATAAAATCTTTAAATAAAAACCTATTACATTAATTTCAGGTATACAATCTAATGATTTATATTTGTATACATTGTGAAATGATCATCACAATAAGTCTAGTTAATATCTGTCATCAGATACTGTTTCTTTTTTTTTAATTTTTTTTAATTTTTTTATTTATTTATGATAGTCACAGAGAGAGAGGGAGAGGCAGAGACACAGGCAGAGGGAGAAGCAGGCTCCATGCACCGGGAGCCCGACGTGGGATTCGATCCCGGGTCTCCAGGATCGCGCCCTGGGCCAAAGGCAGGCGCCAAACTGCTGCGCCACCCAGGGATCGCTCAGATACTGTTTCAAAAATTTTTTTCTTATAATGAGGACATTAAAAATTTACTCTTAGCAACTTTCAAATATGCAATACAGTATTATTAACTTTTGTCACCATGGTATACATTATATCACCATGACATTTATTTTATAGCTGGAAGTTTGTATCTTTTCTTTATCTTTTTAAAAAGATTTTGTTTATTTCTTCATGAGAGACACACACAGAGAGAGAGAGAGGGAGGCAGAGACATAGACAGAAGGAGAAGCAGGCTCCCCACAAGGAGCACAATGCAGGACTCGATCCCAGACCCCCGGATCACGCCCGGAGCTGAAGGCAAATGCTCAACCACTGAACTACACAGGTGGCCTCCTTTTCTATATCTTTTGACCATCTTCACCCAGTGTACCAGCCCCATACCCCACCACCCCTGCAAATGGCCGATTAATATTACAGGATATGTGTGTGTGTGTGTGTGTGCATATATTACATTTATGGATTGATCCACTGATGGACACTTAGATTGTTTACATATCTTAGCTATTGTAAATAATGCTGCAATGAACATGGGGGTGCATATATCTTTTCAAATTAGTGTTTTTGTTTTCTTCAGATAAATACCCTGAAGTGGAATTGCTGGATCATATGGTAATCCTCTTTTTAATTTTTTGAGGAGCCTCCATACTGTTTTCCGTAGTGGCTACACCAATTTACATTCCTACCAACAGTGCATGAGTGTTCCTTTTCTTCACATTCTCGCCAACACTTGCTATTTCTTTGACAGTTTGATTTTGATATGATTAAGGTACTTGAAGTTTGTTGAGCTTCTTGGATGTATAGGTTAATGTATTTCATCATATTTGGAAAGTTTTCAGCCATTATGTCTTCAAATAGTCTTTGCCCTTTCTCTCTTTTTCTTCTGGAACTCTAATTATGTGTATGTTGTACTCTTGATGGTGTCACACAAGTCTCTAACGTTCTGTTCATTTTTCTCATTTTTTTTCTTTCTGTTCCTGAGACTGTAAAATTTTAGTTCAAGTTAACTAATATTTTCTTCTAGCTGCTCACATTTTCTGTTGAGATCCCTTACTAAATTTTTTATTTCAAAACCAGAATTTTTATTTGCTTCTTTTTAAAAATTATTTATATCTTATTAATATTCTCCAGCTGGTGATATATAATTCTTATACTTTTCAGGGTGCCTGGATGTTGCAATCAGTTAAGCACTCGACTCTTGGTTTCAGCTCAAGTCATGACCTCAGCGTCATAAGATCAAATCCTGTGTTGAGCTTTGCGCTCAGTGCAGAGTCTACTTAAGATTTTCTTTCCCCCTCTCCCTCCCCCAACTCACTCACATTCTCTCCTCTAAAACAAATAAAATAAGGCCCCTCGCCCCCACCAGGTGTTGTTCCACAAATGGCGGCTCCACTGAGAGGCATGTTCTCTGGGCAGCCACCTGGGCACCCGGGGGACTCCAGGGGTCAGGCTTCACTTCTTCAGGCCGCGCCAGGCCCTCTGAGAGCTTCTAACAGTACCTTGGTGGACGAGTTGGAGTCCTCTTTTGAGGCCTACTTTGCCTCTCTTGTGAGTCAGGACTTCGTCAATGGCACAGATCAGGAAGAAATTAGAACTGGTGTTGATCAGTGTATCCAGAAATTTCTGGATATTGCCAGACAGACGGAATGTTTTTTCCTACAAAAAATATTGCAGTTATCTGTCCAGAAACCAGAACAAGTTATCAAAGAGGATGTCTCAGAACTGAGGAATGAATTACAGCGGAAAGATGCTCTGGTCCAGAAACACTTGACAAAACTGAGGCATTGGCAGCAGGTACTGGAGGACATCAACGTGCAGCACAAAATCCAGCTGAAATCCCTCAGGGCTCCTTGGCCTACCTCGAGCATGCGTTTGCTAATATCCCTGCACCAATGAAGCAAACCTGAGTCAAAGCTGGCCTGAAGGTGATCCGGCAGTACTTCTGCAGCCAGGCATCCTGATTTGTTTTGTTTCCTTCAACCTTGAAGGCTCCTCCCTACCTAATACTGACACCCATCCATTCATGGTTGTTTGGCCTGGATGCCACCTGGTCCCTGAAGCCTCTGCGTGCCCTCTCTGCTGCACCCCATGGACATAGGACTTCCTGTCTCTTTGCCAGCCTTGTTTGATTCCCCCTGGGGGGGCATTAGTGATTTGTATCTCTCTGTGCCCCTCATGAGAAGTAGGCATTGTTCCCCTCTGAATGTACAGTGACCACTTATTTATCTTTTATGCGTAATGCTTATTATTCATTTTTGTCTGTGCGCATGTGTGTAGAGTATAGAGCCTGGGGCCAACCCCCCAGTATAGATTAAACAAAGCTTTTAAAAGTTGTTCTTACTCACATTATATGACATCAAGGTTGTTAACCTGGCCACCTCACACCAATTAGAAGCCCTGATTGGCAGCTTTAGATTTCTTGATTAAAAAACCTAAATGAACGGGTTAAGTTTTAGGCAGTCATTCAGTAATAAAGAGGTTCTTACTGAAAAGATTGAGAACTATTCCATTTGGTGCTTAGTGAAAATATTTTGAATTCATGTAATTACCAATTAATTGCCATTTCTTTATTCAAAAATTTTCTGTCAAATAAATAATTTTTCAATCTTAAAAAAAATAAAACAAATAAGGCTTTTTAAAAATTCTTGTACTTTAGTTCTTTAGCCATGGTTTCTTTTAGTTCTTTGAATATATTTAAAATAGCTGATTTAAAGTCTTCATTTATGGATCCCTGGATGGCTCAGTGGTTTAGTGCTGCCTTTGGCCCAGGGCTTGATCCTGGAGTCCCAGGATCGAGTCCCACATCGGGCTCCCTGCATGGAGCCTGTCTCTCTCTCTCTCTCTCTCTCTCTCTCTGTCTGTCTCTCATGAATAAATAAATAAAATCTTTAAAAAATATATAATAAAAATATATATAATAAAGTCTTCATTCCGTAGTACAATTCTGGGCTGTTTCAGGAACAGTTTTTATTGGTTACTTTTTCCCTGTCTATGTGCCATACTTTCTTATTTATTTACTGGTCTGGAAACCTTTGGTTGAAAATTAGACATCTTAAGTAATGTGGCAATCCTGAAAATCAGATTTTTCATCCTCCAGAGGGTTTGTTTTGCTGTTTGTTGTTGCTTGTTTGTTTATTGGCTTTTCTGGACTATGTTTTGTTATGTATAGCCACTGAATTCTCTACTTACTTAGCTTATTGGTCAGCTAATGATGGGACAGAGATTTTTTTTTTTAAATGCCCAATAAGTCTCTCGGTCTTTGCCAAAGATTCTTTGTGAGTGTTGGAACATGCCTTCAACACTAAGCCAGGCAGTTAACAACCCTCCTTTAGCCTTTAGTTCCTGTTTTTTTCAGAGCCTCAAGGTTAGCTAGAGGTGAGGACTTATAGATCTTTCCTAAACATGTTCACACAACCCTACATATGCATATTAACTTGAAGATTCCAAGGATGTGTTAGAGTTTTTCAAGGCCACTATAACCGTTTCATTCTACAGATTTTCTTTTTAGACTTTTTGGTTAGCCTACTCTTTACCCCAACTGTTATCCACCACCTCAGGCAGTAAAGTTACGTAATTGCCTCTGTTGTTGTCAACAAACATACCAGGGTAAAAGGCTTTCCACACTGGGTGATTTCCAAGATAGGCCAAATAAAGATAGTCTTGTCAATGGGGTCTTTCAGGAAATCGCCAGACAGATCAAATAATGACAGATATCTGGGAATGAGGTTTTGAAGGTATTCCACCCTGTTTTGTTCCCTCCAGTGGCTGGCAGGTTTGTAGTGTTCACCACAATTGGAAGGCAGTTGGTTTTCAAAGCCACCATAGAGCTGGAGGGAGGGCACATTAAAATGCCACAACATAAAATAAATAAAATAAATAACATAAAATACAATGCCACGACATTTGCTGTTCTTGCTGAAATTCAGTGGGTTTTAAAAAAATTAATGTCTATGGATTAGATAAATAGGCTAACCAAAAAATTATTTTGTTAATTTCCAGAGTTTTGAAAAAGTTGATTTTGACCATATCACTTTTATAAAGGAGTTTTCAGTGGTCCTTACTCCACTTTTTATGAACCCTATTATATCATTAGGATTAGAGTCATCCACATGTGACAAAAAACTTGAAGTCATAGTGGCTGAAATACGTAAGTTTTGTTTTCTCACATTAAAATTTAAAAGTAAGTTCAAACTCTTAAAATGTTTAGGGACAGCAGCTTTATTTTTAGCTTTCAACCCTGTCATCCCTAGAGTGTGGCCCTCATCCTTATGATCTAAGATAACTGCTTGAGCTCCAGCTATCATATCTGCATTCCAAGAAGCAAGACGGAGGACAGGTAAAAAAGTACACACACCTTTCCTTTAAAGACACATCTCAGGAATTCCACATGATACACAGCCATGCCTAGTTACATGGGAATTTGAAAAATACAATCTTTATTTAGGAAGCCATGTGTCCATCTAAAAACTAAGGGTTTATTGCTAAGGGAAGAGGGGAACTAGTTGTCTCTGCCATGTGCATTTAACAGGTGAAGAAACTGAGGTTTTGAGAAGCTCAATAATGGGCTCAAGATCTCCCAGGCAGTATGGAATGGTGCCCAGATTCCATTCATGTGGCTACCTCTGAAACCTTACCTTTAGCCACTTTGCCATACAGATTCAGGGAAGTTGAATAACCTGATGAGGTCCACATAGCTAGCAGGTACAGATTTGTCTGGCTCCTATAATCATCCTTTTTTCCATTATTTACCCCAAACCATCGGACTCTGGTGGGCCACTAAGAGGAGTGACAAAGAGTAGACCTCACTGTTTCAGCTGAAAATGCCTGGTAGATGCCAGTAAGATGCAAAATAAAGTGCATTGAGCTCCTTTAAGTAGAGGACAAGGAGCACTCAAAAGACAGCAAATGAAAAAAGATAAATAGATCATGAGACATCAAGCCATTAAGAAACAAACACTGTAGAACTTGTTTGCCTCCTGGAGTGGGATGAAGGGACTAGTAAAATACAGGGGGTGAAATGCCATTAAGAAATCAGGACCAAGAGCTGTGATTTTGAACAGAACCCTGAATACATTTTGCTTATCACCAGTCTCCTGGACTCCCAGCTCCTTTCCAACCAGTTTGTATGAGTCCTTTCCATTCACATCCAGCTCTGGATGGGGCGAGGCCCTGATTAAGCCCAGCTTGTAGGACTCCATTGTGTCTCCTCAGAGTCTAAGGGAACAGACAAACCCAGCACCTGCCTCGACTCATTTGTTTCTTTTCTTTCTTTGTCAATTCTTTTTCTTCACCTGGGATTATCCTAAAGCTGAGTTAGTTGAGATCTCAATAAGGTCATGTTGTAATTACAAATTCAGAACAGGTTTTCAGTGTAACCGACAATCCTTTTCACGGTGCTCACAGAGGATGTGCTCACTGAGGCCGTGTCAATGGAATTGCAGTTTGATAACCAAACAGAAGCACAATTGAAGCTGTGGTGACTAATACAGCCCCATTCAGAGCCACCCAAAGATAATCCACTGTTCCCTGTGGTTTAAATCCATCACAAAGAAAGGGAGTGGGGGGAAAAGGATTTGGTTCCAGCAAGTGGAGTAATTCTAGGTTCATCTAATGGTATATGTTAGGGTTACTGAAGATAAACTCATGGGTGGACTTGACCCTATAGGAAGCTGTCCCCTGTCCCCTCCTCTGCCTCTGGAAGCCTCCTCACTAGCACACAGCAGATCCCCATTGCTAAGAACTCCCTCTCCCACTCTGCCCTGACACCCCAAAAATAACCTCTGCTGATACCTTTTTTCACACGCATGCATTGCAGACACACACACACACACACACACACACACACACACACACACACTTGCAGGAATAGCTCTAGCCTCTGCTGTTGTCCTCTGCTTTGAATTTTTTCTCAGACTTCTCCATGGGTCTTCCTTTAGTTTCACACCTAGATTCTTTCTCTGTGCAACAAGATTAACAGATGTCTATCATAAGAATATCAGGTTTCATTAAATTTTAAACACTTTATTTGGAGATAGTTAAAGATTCACATGCAGTGGTAAGAAATAATATAGGGCGATACCACACGCATTTTTTACCTGGTTTCCACCCAATGATAACATCTCGTAAAACTGTAGGACAAATGTCAATCGGGATCTTGACATGGGTACAATCAGATCTTACTCAGGTGGCCTCTGTTTTACATGTACGTATTCGTGTGTGCACATTTTACTTCTATGCTATTTTATGACATGTGGAAGCTTGCATATCAATCACCATCTCTTGTGTTACTTTTGTATAACACTACCCACCTCCCTCTTCCCCCCCTCCTCATTTCTCCAGCCTAACCACTCATCTCTTCCCCATTGCTGTAATTTTGTTGTTTTCAAGAATGTTTTATAAATGAACTCCTAGCATATGTAACCTTTTGGAATTGGCTTTTTTTTTTCACTCAGCCTAATTCCCTTGAGATCCATCCAATGTTTTCTGTACATATCAATAGTTGGTTCCTTTGTACCTGAGTAGTATTCCAGGGTATAGATGTACCCACACTTGATTTAACCATTTACCCACTGGATATCTGGGATATTCAGGATATCTGGGTTGTTTCTAGTTTGGGACTATTCTAAATAAAGCTGCTATGAACATCCATATTCAGGCCTTTGTGTGAACATAAAACCTATGTTTTTATTTCTCTGGGATAAATGCCCAAGAGTGCAGTTGTTGGGTCATGTGGTAATTGCATGTTTAGATTTATAAGAAACTACCAAATGTTCTCCAGAGTGATTGTACCCATCAGCAATGCATAAGTGATCTAGTTTCCTTGCATCCTTGCCAACGATTGATATTATCATTATATATATATATATTTTTTTTTAATTTTAGCCATTCTAATAGGTATACAGTGAAATTTCATTGTGGTGATTTAATTTTTAAAAAATCTATTTTAATATTTTAACTTTCAATTGTTATTGATTATTTGCACAGTTTTCATATA